AGATTTTTCAGGTTATTGCTTGGGCACAATTATCATTTCTAGATGTTCCCTTTAGCATAGAAAATCAGGTCCACATTAAAAATGCATTACATTAACTTATATTCAGAATTCAGTTAAATCTTTCCTTGTCTGTAAAAATATCCTGTCCTGTATTATAGGTATGATCCAATGAAAATTAATAGTTCTTTAACTGGCTAAGATGTCTTTTGGCTCTCAGATGGTAACTGAACAGCATGCTGTCAGACGCTGCTCACAGCTGTATAACCACTGGTTATCTGATCATGTCCTATGAGCTACTACCTGTACAATTTGGAGTCTTGTGCTTGCATCAAATTACCGCCGTCTTCACAGTTCAGGCATGACTATGATGACCCTACTGCTGCTGAACTTATTGAGCAGAGTATCCATGTGTTATGAGTTACTCTATCCCACTGTGTAACTTTGGACTGTGTCTACAATTGAAAGACCACATAAGATTTTTATAAAAATCAGGCCTTTGTGGTTACCAAGGTTCTAAGAAAAACACCAACTTGCGTCCAGTAAAAGTTATCGCAGGCTATAAAGAATTCCCTCTTTTTACTAAGACAATTAAGGCTAACAAGCAAAATTCTACAGAAGCAAATGTGAAGGGAAAATATAAAAATGTGCCAAAATAATAAAATAAGGTTTTATAATATATTATTTGCCTTTTGTGCTTTGGTAACCATCCTGTTCAGATTGTAATATGCAACAAATTTACAGTATACATTTGCTAATTTGGTACACTGTAGATTTCAGAACCCTTATAAAATCTGTTTCTTACTGGGTACCCAGTAGTGCCCACAGATGCTCTGAGGCAGGGGTTTACAAACTTTTCTCCACTGGGTTGAAGTCCCTTTAGCCCCAAAACTAAAACTAATGCTAAGCTGAACTGTAAAATATGTATTTGCAATCATTTGGCATCAGCAAATCTGTAAACTGTTGCGGTAGAGTAGAGTAGAGTAGAGTAGTGAAAGCACCTTTCCTTACCCTCAACTGTGCAGCAATCAAGTTTCTTCACTAATAATTATCCCAGCCCTATATTGACCCCTTGAGTATACCTCCCAATTCTCACACCCAGAGTATTATCCCCCCATCCTATGGCAACAGCATAATAAAAGCAGCCATGGCAAAAAAAAAAAATTAAAACCGCAACAAGAAGCTCAACATTATATTAGTGTATAAGATACAGCACAATACTTGTCTTGCATGTATAGCTGCTTCTGTTTTTTTTGGGGGTCTATGCACACTGGGCTTAAACAAACGCCAGTTCTTTTGGCAGAGAAAAAAAACGCTCATAGTGAGAATTTAAGAGTGTTTAGTATTTTCCTCTGGAAAACACCACTCAAAAACGCATAGCAGAAGGGTTATTTTTTTTGCCTCTAAATGCTGAACTTAAAATATGCCTCTAATTGTCCTAATGTGCATTGACACATAGGATAACATTGAGCTGCTTCTACAGGCAAAACACAAAACTCCTGTAGAAGCAGCATTTTTTAAGCCCAATATGCATGTACCCTAAATCTGCATGGCTGAAAGTCCAGGAAAAGTCTTCCTCACTTACCTTCCAGCTGGACGGCACCTGGAGGAGCACTTGTGATATTGCATGATGCTAGTGCCTTCCTACTTCACTTGAAATCTCTACCACCTACCTGTTACAGGTAAAGTACAGGCATGACTACACATTAATGGCAGCTGCAGGCCTAATACCCAGGACTCACATCCAGAAACCTAGGGCACCCATATGAAGCCTTGGGCCCTAGCCCCAGCACCTACCTATGCCACTGGTTGACACATATATGAGACAGGTAACAAAGGCATCAGAAGCAGGAGAACAAACAACTGAAAGAAAGCTGGATAAATTATTTTATTTTCTGAACAAATATTGTAAGAGATATAAGCAACATTGCCTAGACTATAAAGAAAACTTAATGATGTGAAAGGGTTTTATGAAAAAACACATATTTGCTGTTATGAGATGCAACAGCTCGGACTTTCTTAACCTTTTTACCCCATAAAAACCTTGAGATAATTCCGTGTCTCAGGGAACACCTGCTAAATCTAATTAATTGGAGATCAGTGGGAACAATGTCCCTTACGTTGGTGGTCAGTAGGAAAAAAGCTCTTTATATTGGTGGATAGTGAGAAGAATGCCCCCTTACAGTGGTGGTCAGAATGCTGCTATTACAGACAGCTAAAAAAGATTGTATTATGCTGCAGGCTCTGCCACGTGGCATTGGGCATAGAAATATTTAGATAGGAGGGTCAATCATCCACAACTGATGGAACCAACAACCCCTGGGATAACCCTAGGGTTCCACAGGATTCTGGACGAGAATGGCTGCTATAGCTGTTGTATTTCACAACGCATTAGGCCAAAGAGAATTTAGCAACGTATCAGTGAGTGTAAGCATGAGAATGTCACATAGTAAAACGAACATGGCACCAAATACTTGCTAACCGTATTAAACATTAATCAATTTACATTATAAAATGGGTTTACAACACTACACTTCTTATCATAAACAGATTAAGAACACATTATCCTGAATCTAGTTAGAATATATACTTAGGACATCGCTAACTAGGTTCTTTTGATAGAACTGTTAATAGGGGTTGTTTGTGAGTGCTATGTGCTCTATGATCAGGTGATATCAATCATTAAAGGAGAAGTGTGGGAAGTAAAGAAAAAAAAAAAAGAATAATACTGTCCCCCACCACGTCTAAGACTGAGAACTGAGTGATCACATGACCTTTGATTGTTCCGTTCGAGTCCACTCTGAGAGCAGACAGTCACCGCTCTGTGATCTGCCCCTCCAGTGCTCACTGGAGCACCGGGTATGAGAGGGGTCAGGACCAAGTGGCTCAGTCTCTCAGTAGTGCGTTGAGAGGCTGAGCCAGCTGCCAGTCAGAAATCTGGGTGGATCCCAACATTATTGTCGGGATCCTCTTAGAGACTAGAGTTGTCGTGTGACTTCAGCCAACAGTGGTCTCTAGCGCGTTGTCCGCTGATTCTAGGTCATAGGAGTACAAAAAGACATGCAAACAAGCTTCAGCCATACTCCTCTATTAATTGTCAGAAAACATTTCTCCTCTTTTCATATGCTGGCTTGTAAGATGTAATCACTTGCTTACAATTTATTTTAAACAAAGCCTAAAAGGATAATTAGATATTTTAGGATGATGTTTACATCTTTTTACAGGTAAATAGCATCAATAACCAGGTATCTGTAACATTGAGCAAGCAAAATTTTAGTGCACTAAATACAGACACTGTAACACCAACGAAAAACTCCTTACAGTAGTAAACAAAATGACTCCTCCAATACATGTAAATCACCCCTCCCTTCAGTTATATTTGGCAGTTTCTGGTTCACCATCAGTGGCGGACAGCATCACCAAAAGACCCCTTTGGATGATTAATTTCTGGGCCCCAGAAATCTACTGGCCAAGTAAAATCTTGAATTCAATGTTTACCAATTGACAGGTAGATAGAAGTGAACTGTGCTCAGGTCTATGGGGTTGATTTACTAAAACTGGAGAGTGCAAAATCAAGTGCAGCTGAGAATAGAAACCAATCAGCTTAACTGAACAAGCTGAAGTTAGAAGCTGATTGGCTACCATGCAGAGCTGCACCAGATTTTTGAACTCTCCAATGTTAGTAAATCAGCCCCTATGGTCTCAGCACCCATTTGACTCATGGCTACTAAAAATGTCCCCTAAATCCCAGAGGGCCCTTGTTCAGTGATACAGTCTACACAAATGGTATGTATACCACAAGATCTTATGTACACTTACCTGTCATATCTATAATAAACTAATTTATATTTTGAAGGGCAATGTTTAAAAGTCACTTTTTTTGTAGGTGCCTGGGAAATTATGGGGCCTCACTGAGGGATTCTGGAAAAATCTCAGGATTACAAATATCAGTAGAAAATGTTCCACTCTTCTGCAGGACATTCTCACAAGATTTGGGATCTACACCATTCCCAGGACCCTGTGAGAAGGCCAAATGTCATCATGCTCACCTAGGCATGGAAGGTAAGTATTTATTTATTTAAATTTTTCTACAAGTGTTTTATTGTCTTATGGTTTTCGATGCATATTTTTGGGAGTCTGCGGGGCTGCAACTTAATTTTCTGATAAAGTCCTGATGCCTGGGATGAAACATGTAGACATCATACATATAGATGACAAACACGTAGCAGCTGAATACATATGAGCTCTCCATTGATATGCCAGAGGGTGGAAGAAACAATATAGAGGAGGAGATAGAGAGTGCCTATGCCAGACCTGGGATACTCTGTCGATATCTATGAATTCAGCATTCATCAACAATTCTTATGCTCATATTACCAATTTGTCTGAGCTAGACATATACATGCCCATGTGGAATACTTGCTATTTGTGAGGAGTGCTGCTGAGCATGGACAATCACATATGAGATATAACTGAATGAGCACTGTCTACTATTAATTAAACAGAATTCTCCTTGCCTTACCTATCAATGGATGACAAACAAATGGCAAAGACTGTACAATTCATATCCTGGCAGAAAGTTTGTTGCATTAATTCTGGTTTGCATTCCTTATATCTTTTGGCATGGACAAATCAGCTCTGGCACAGGTCCAAATTTATTCAATACCTACCATCATATATGGGCATTTATATATGCATGTTTTACACGAATAAGCTTTGCTCCCCTCTTTTTATCCATATTTTGATCATATGCATGTACAACTTGATTGGGGGGGGGATTTTATGCCTGGTGATACTATGAGAATATTGTCAGTTTTTTATACAGTGTAGGGGTGATTTGTTTTTTTTTTTTTTTTATCAACTGAGGTATAGTAGTAAATATTAGTATTTTTATGTGGATAGTGCCTGTTTTCACCAGTTTTTCTTTCTTTGGTTTAATTTGAAACTGCAACATAAGACCTTGAATTTTCATTCACTATAAGTTCAGCCTACTATATTTATATATCTACTGATTGGTTTGATATGCGCAGGGGCGGACTGACCATTTGAAAACTCGGGCACTGCCTGAGGGCCTGGGGTCAGTAGGGGGCCCCATGAGATGCCCCTGGTACCTTTTCATAGGCTTTTTTGAGTTTGGGCAAGGACACAGGGGCCCCATGATCCCCTAATGCCCGGGGGCCCCATGAGTTGTCAGTCCGCCCCTGGATATGCAGACTTCATTGATAAAGTCGTCTCTGATTTTGCTCAACATATTAGTTTAAATTGTGCAGGTCTATAGCAGATTTCCTTTAAATAAAGTACTATGAACAAGATCAGTTCCTTCAAAGTGAATCATTCACACAGAATATAAAAACCTACTTTTTAAAGCGTAAAAACAAAATTTTGCCATTTTCAACATGACAAAAAGTGGGGGCAAATACAAAGATAGGAATTTCCTTAATGTTTTTGGAGATTTCCCTTCATTTCCTGTCATGCCTCCTAGATAACAAGTGGAGAGAAATCTCTCCAGGAGGATAAAATCTCCCCAGTAAATAAAAATAATCTTTCCTATTTTATCCAAAATGTTTAAAAAAAACAAGACTTTACATACATTTTAAATATGTATCAGTAAATGGTAAAACCCACTAAAAACATCTTTTTTCAGCACAAAAAACTTTTTTTTTTTTTACAAATATGTCAGTTGACTAAAAGGTCAAACAATTTGGTAGCTAATGGCTAATTCATTATTAGGCAAAGTTTTAAAAAGCACTAAAAATGAAAACGTTAAATCATTTTAAATGCTTTAGAAGTGAATACCCACTTTAGAAAAATATATTGTAAAATTATAAATCATAATGAAACATTTTAGCTGTTAAGCACATAAACTATGATCATCTGTGTAATCTATGTACAGTAGAATTTTTTTCAGTCTCTTTGAAAAGATGCAATGATGGCTGTGGTACATTAGCTAACCAAGAAAACAGATGACATTCTCTCAATCCATTTAACGCCACACTCTATAGGATCAGTCTTCAGCAGGGGAACTGTCAGGTATAGATTTTTGACCACCACTGGGTGGTTTGCTTGTGTTAGTGTTATTACAGCAGAAGGAACTCAGTGACCTAATCTGTAAACTGATTCTGTAATTAATTAGCATCAGTAAGTAAGGGCTGATGCTAGCATATCCAGAAAATAGGACAACGAGCAAAGTTGACCTCCAATACCATACATTTATATCCTTTATGCTCATGACTACGACAAAATGGGCCACCCACAATGCTGTGACAATGTGCATTAAAAGTACTATGACTTTGGCAGCCCGCAGAACCTCAGTCTCAGATGCATCATGCCCAATCCATATGTTTCCATAAGTTGCACGATTTTGCTCATAAAAAAGGAGCATTATGCGACCACAAACAAACAATAAAACCACAATAGGAAGTAAATCAGTAACAACCATAAATATCTGATGGTAATAGATGTCCGTTACGGCATCTGTAAACCGAACATCACAATCTTCATAGGGAAAGCTATGATGAACAGGAGAAGTATCATTATATGAGGTCAAACTTTGTACATCATGCACAAATACCAAGTAAGGACAACAAACTGAGAACCCTATGATCCACAAGGCAAACACAGTGATCAGGTGATGCTTGCGCCATTTGGCATTAGGAGGTGTCCTCAGAGGATGGATGACCCGTTTCAGCTTAACACAGTAGAAGATAGCCATGTAAAGGGTAAACCAGATTTCCAGTTTGGTAGTCATGGATGCAATAAATACCCTAATTTTACAGAGTAGTGGATTAGGGAAAATCCAGCACTAAGAATAATGTTTATAGTATTGACAACAATATTCTTCAAAACATGGGCAAAGGCAAGGCTGAAGATGAGAACAAAAGATGTAGGCAGGCGTCTTGTAATGCATCTCCATGTGCAATAAATCAGTATGGCGTTTCCCAGTAAGCTGATAAAGATTAAGATGCAACAGGCAATTATTTCAGTGTTATTTGACGAAAGCTCCATCTTGATCATCGGTGGGATGTCCAAACAGAATGTGTCACTTGTTTAGTGCTAATTGCCACATAAAAGAAACTGCACTTGTGCTGATCATGATCATGAGGAAATTCACAGAGATAATCCTTTGTGCTAAAGAAAAGCTGAACACTCTGTATACTATGGAAATGCAGAAATGTACAGATACAATCGGACAAGATGAGGTTATCATGGGACTGAGTGATGGAATAGAAAAACAGATGTGTACCTATTAATTATAACTCACACAAGCCTGGTAACTGTACAACAACATATTATAATTTCTCCAGGGAATTATGCTGCAATACTCTAAAGACAGGACAAAGACAGACATCATCTTATTCACTCATAAGACAGAAGAGCTAAAGAGCCAAGGAAAAGATACTGTGGTTATATTGCCTATAGCACCCAACTCAGTTGAGTATTTGGCCTTTGGAAGGAATAGTGCCCTTAGTTTGCTACTTCATATTGCTTTACAAGAAACCTTAAACAATTTGCCCTATTGTATGGTCTTCAAAGCAACACTCTGGTCACATAAACTTTCAATTAAAGCTGAACTCCAGGAAAAAAAAGATTAAAGCTGGGTATACATGGCTCAAAACTTGTCCAGTTCAGCAAAATTCGACCTGTGTGTAGTCCTCCTGTTTTGACAGCACAAATGTAGAAGCACAGATTTTTTTGTGGTCCAAAATTACTCCAAATGGGTACTCGCAATCTTTGAGGTTGTGGAGAGGGAAGGGTTAAACAACAAACAAAAAGACAGTGCCAGACCTGCCTAGTATAACACAATTTTGTTATAAAAAAATACGGTAGTTAAAAAACTCTATCCAATCCATTCACATGAAATAGTAAGGTCATCGAGCACATCAGGGTGTAACTGCCTCTCCTCTCTTAGATCGCCATTTTTGTTACCCAGCTTCTTAAGTATGTAATTATGGCAGGCAGCTTCTGTACTCCCATCACTCCACATGGCGTGCGGGACCTACTGCGCATGTAGGTGCAGCCGGCGCCACGTACCTTATTATTTCATGTGAGTGCATTGGATGGAATTTGTTACCAGCTTTTATGACAAAATTGTGTTACGCTAGGGCAGTCTGGCGCTCTCTTTTTGTTGTTGTTTATGCCAAATGTATTCTGCCACCCGGTGGATGTTAAGATGTTAAGAGAGCTGCAGCGACCTGTGTTTCATTCTACTGTTAAGCAAGAGTGAACTCTACACATCAGTATGTTTCTGGACTGTGAGGATCAGTGCACCTGCTAGTGCATTGATTTTGTAGAGAGGGAAGGGTGAAGCCTTCTGCGCAAGGCACTATAGGTTGCCGAACCCAGGAGGGTATAGCACTGTGGGAGCTGTGAGCCAGGTGTGAACTGAGAAACATTCCAATAGGAAATAAATGGTGTGCACATACGTAGTAAAGACACTGAAATTGAGGTTGCACGATGCAGTAGTGGCAGTGCGAAAGAAGGCTGGGGGAAATGGCACCAAAATAAACATGTTTCACACCTCCCTGTTGTGCCACTTTGACATTTTGCAGATATAATGCCTAGATGGTAAATAGATAGTGCGGTGACATCATATTCTCCACCTCGTCCAATCAGAGAATGCTGTACATTCATTCAGAAAATGCAAAATATACTCTTAATGGGGCCATGCCAAATGGCCAACCTTCTGTGTTCCCAGTGCACCAGGTTGCTGCTCAGCACAGAACCCAGAACCAAATGGAGATCACTGGAGTAGCAGTATCTACTTCAGTGATTTTCAGCTTCCAAGGGCATCAGCAAGGTAGGTAATGTACATTATTACAGTACATTGGTTCAAGTTGGACTAATGTGACTATGCAAAAACATACCATGCCTGGAATTGTTCTTTAACTAACAGAGGCAAAAGCAGATGGGGAAACAGGTGAATCAGGAGTTCTGCTGTTACATAAGCAAAAGTATATTGCACTGTTCTTTCTACCGTAGTAATCAGCATTAGCTTTCACTTTTCCCCACTGAGGGTTAAAAATTAAATTTACCAAGTAATGGTAATGTGCAAAATGTGGTAGCCGATAGAAATCAAATTTCAGTTTAATATGACCAGATCATTAGGCCTGGGATTTGCTTTCATTGCTTATTACCCATATACATTGTCACCCATGACAAGTGGCTAAGCAGGGTGAAGTAGAACAATTCATAGTCTGTGATTACAATTAAATAAAATATTGTCCTGATATTTGTCAAGCGAAGAAGCACAACTAAAAAATCTCACATGATGAAAGTATAATTCAGGCAGAAAAGCTAAATTTGCTCACAGACATATTGGCTTCTGGTTTTCACGTCAAGTGACATTTCCTGAAAATGATAATTATAATTGCTCACAAAGGTTTTGGGTTAGGGAAAGAACAAAGGAAAACAGAAAAAAAATTCAAGCACTGTTATTTTATTCATTGCCTTTCCAGCTCATGACACATTTGATTTATGTTAGTGAGAGGGTACGTTCCAAGCAAAGGATCACCTTATCCCTACTAAGGTTTATTCAGACTGTTCCCTTCTATGGAAAGTTCAACAGTTCAAACAAGTCATTTTTAAGAGGTTCGCTTCAGAAGACAAGCTAGTTTGCAAAGCTGTTTCATCTGTTTGTAAGGATAATGACTGTGCCATGACAAATCTTACTTGACAGCCCATTCTGGAAACTTAAAAAAAAAAAAGAAAAGAAATACTAAGTGTGCTTGCTACAATATGGCTTCTCTTACCGTTGAAGTTTAAAAGTTCTCTCTTATACCAAGACCATCAGATCGCTAGACTTTTGGACTCATACAGTATTTGCAGCTAGGAACTCTGTGTCATCACAGAGGCATGATACACAAAGAGTCACAGTTATCAAGTCCCTTGTAAATTAAGGCAAAACAATGGTAACTCATTAACAAAATATGTGCTGCAGCACTTACATTCTCTGGCCACTTTATTATGTACACCTTGCTAGTGCCAAGAAAATCTCCCCCACACCATTACACCACCAGCCTGAACCATGGATACAAGGCAGGATGGATCCATGCTTTCATGTTGTTTACGCCAAATTCTGACCCTACCATCTGAATGTCGCAGCAACTAGTCTGCCCATTCTCCTCTGACATCAACAAGGCATTTTCGTCCACACACTGGATATTTTCTCTTTTTTGGACCATTCTTTGTAAACCCTAGAGATGGTTGTGCATGAAAATCCC